CCGCCGGCTGGTCCGAGGCGGCGGCGGCAGCGTCGTCGTCGTTGCAGAGCGTCTCCTGCGCATGCGCAGGAGACGCTCTTGCACTTTCGGGGGGATTTAAACATCCCCCCGAAATTTTTTTAAACTTTTTGTATTTTTGTGCACACGTGGGGACTGGCCCACGTGTGCACAAACCTCCCCCGGCCCCCCAGCTGCCCCCTCCGTGCTGATTTAAGTATCCGCACGGAGGGGGCAACTTGGCTATTAGATATATAGATTATAAAGTCAACTGTTTATTTAATACTGAGCCTTGCAAGGCCTTTATCAGCAAATTGCCAAAAGCTGAAGGCTGAATTGAACTGAAATCTCTCCCAAAATCCACTTTCTAATCTGTGGATTACATCAGCTCACCTTTAAAACGAGGTATTGTTCAAATCTGTATTTCATTCATAAATCATAACAAGTTCACATAGTGATACAATTAACATTTCAAAGATAAGCAAAGTCCTGAACCAATATCTCAAAATACAACACAGTCAGGCAACCAGAGTGTTCAAAAATGTTTCCTCTTACTTTGACCAGGCTGCTGCTAAAAACAGCCAGCTTCTGGCTGACCTTATTATTTGATAAGACAAAGTAAGATGAAACATATTTGAGTGCAAAAATAGAAACATGTGCTGTCCAAGCACTTTCCCCCATTAATGTGTGTCTACTCTCCAAATGTAGGCATAGAGTTCACTTTACTTCACTAGAGCTACAAAACCCTATTTCTAAAGAACAAGTAAAAGCCACTGGACATCATAACTCCCCATGTAGATCAGCACCTGATCAGCACACTGAGAGAACTGAAATATACCTGCAAACTAGAATAAGGGTGCTATATCTAACATTACGTCTATCAATGCTAACAGAATGCTCACTGTAGCAACGATATCAACTGCAAACAGCTAAGTAAACTAAATATGTTGGAAGCAAGCACATAATAGCAAAAGCAAAGGGAAGAGTGTGTGGAAAGAAAAGCATGCAGATCTCAGAGGAGAATCATCAGACTGGCAAATCCCAGTGATTCTATAGAGGGGGGAGGTTGCATCTTTCCAACAACCCTTTGCAGCAAGCATTGCAAAAGCCTCATCAGTTTATTCAGATAATGTTAAAACCAGATGTAAGGTTCAAGTGGGTATATAAGGAAAGTAGTACCAAGAGAACACTTTGTTCTGAAAAGATTGTTGTTGTTGTTTTTAAATGAGCCCCCTGGCATAGAACATTGTGAACACCAGTAGTTCTTCATCCCAGTTCTTGAACTAGTCACCTCAGTTTCTTATACTATGTTCACATTGTAAAAAGAGTTTAAGACAGAAACTCCCCTCCAATAGGTTAATCAAGTCATAACAGATAAAGATCATTGTTCCCGTGCAAAGATCATTGTTCCCGTGCCTCTCTCTACAAGTCACAAGACTAGAGACCACCACAATCTACAACAGGTTGGAAGAAAAGAAATTTGACGTTTCCTTAGTAAATTACTATATTGGATTATACACTGTTCCACTCAAGTAAGCTTCCATTTGTTTAATCAAACTTTTGTCCTCATCCAGTATTTTCATCTAAACCTTGGAAACATATTAAACCACTTTGGAAGTGAAATCAGTTTACATTACAAGTGCAATACAAATTTTGACTTGGACACAACTGATTTTTAGTACCTAAAGTTACAGGAATGATCAAGAAATCAGCAGTTCCCCTTATTTTTAGCGGACTCCAAGAAGCCACAGAGGATCTAGCATTTCTACAAGGGTAGGTCAAGAGACCGCCATATTAGTATTTGACTGCATGGTTCCACTACTCCCATTAAATACAAAGCAGTCTTAAGATTTGGTACCACTCCCCACACTAGCTTTGAACAGATCACTGTATACGGAGTCCATAATATTTGTGAAAAGCACATTCATCTTTACCTAGGAACAGAAAGAGAAGAAACATGCAGCAGAGAAGAAAGCAGCACAATATTTGCACAATAAAAATGACAGTGGAATCCAACTTGAACAGGAAATATGCCTGTTTTTCTCTGTATGGCAACGTAACTATTTCTTCGCATGCCTCAGATAGGAACGGACAAAACCCACTGCAAAGATATTAGAAAATAAGACATTAAGAGAAAGGAAGAAATTTAACTAGCAGGAAAGGGAAAGGAAAATTCCAGGATATAGCAATAAATGATGTCTTTCCATCTTCTCTGCGCTTTGGATAGTGAGGTAAGCAAAACATTAGGATACATTTAAGAGGAGACTGCACAATTTATTTAGCAGATCTAAAAACTAAGACTAGCCTCAACTGTTTAAAAGTTGTAGAAGTGACTCTAGCAGTATTTAGCTTTTTCTTCCAGAAGATATTTAAAACTTAGGTAACTTACAAAACAATCCTAAGCAAAGTTACTCCCTTCTAAATCCATGGATATTAACAGGCTTAGAAGGATTTAACTGTTTAGGATTGCTCTGTTAGTCTGAACAAGAAGCAGATTTTCATTGTGCTAGGAAATAAAACAGGCAGTTTTATTGCTTCAGAAGATGTGATGTGAGGGCGATCTGGCTGCGACATCTGTCACCCCATTGATCGCCGGGGTTGATTCAGCTTCAGACGACTAAACTGAGAGCCAGATTCCATAAAATCTATGATTTTGCCAAAATCTGTAATTTCTTGCTTCTGAACACAAACCTCAGTGATTCTGAGGTAAGCATTAGGACTAAAGTGTTCTTCTCTGGCTCATAAGGACAAAGTTTTCCTTCTCCCCCACACCCTCATTGGCTTGCCACAAAGGCAACAGGAAGAGCTCCCTGCCAGGTGCCTGTTGGAGCACTGCTTCTGTAGTATCTCATGCACCACTGAGCTGGGGAAGCACAGTTTATCCAGGGCCACGGATATCCACACAAAGGACAATAGGTCCTTTGGAACATTAATTCCCAGGCTGATATGCTGCTGTATCAGTAATCCAACAGGTGCCATGGAGAAAGGGAGGCCTACAGCACATTCTCCTTGTCCCAGCTATCACAATCAGGCTAGGAAAGTGGGAGGCTCACAGGCAAGGAGAGGGTTAGGGCTCCAATCCTGCTGTACTTCTGATGTCACTGAGAATGCATAATCCAGTAGACGCAGCTATTTCCTGATATTTTTGGAAGACAGATCATTTTGCTAAGCCCAATTCCAAATCAAGTCTGTAGGGCAAGTGAATGTGAGAGAGGAGTGCCACAAAACGCATTTGCATGAATAAGAATGTTTATCTTAAGAACTCCTGATCAAATGATCACTCTCTTTATACATATACACTGGGCCACTAACCTTTTTCTAAAAAAATAAAGCCTTAATACTGCATTTTAATTGTTGCACAAATCCAGCAGTTCTTATTACACATATTGACAAAAATGGGATTGCACTCATAGGCCCAAGGTGTTCAACAGAATTAGAGAAGGACTTAGGCACAGGATCTGGAAAATAGTTCATATTCCTGGTGCGATATATTATAGTGTACAATAATGAAGCACATTCCTATAATCTTACACGATTTTAAAGGATACGGTCCGTACCAGGGAACAGTGTTCTTCCAGTCAACAGCTCAGCCATAATACATCCAACTGACCAAATATCAACTAAGAAAAAAAGTAGTTAGAAGCCAATGATTTTCTATAGCCACACAGCATTGTTCCAGTATTCTGATGATTAAAAAAATACAAGAGCAGTCCAACCAAAAGTAGTTAGTTTTAATATAAGTACTTCTGTATTTTCTAACCCCTATAATGTTAGCTCTGACTATTTCCAAAGCAATAGCACTTCACAATAATACTTTAAGAATTGAACATTCTGTAGTAGGGGACATTTCCAGTGCTGCATTTTTGTGGGTGGAAGGACTCTCTCACACCCGCACTCCTCCAGCTGTATCCCCAAATGCCCTTGAGATGCTGTTCTAGGGTGTCCCCTATCCCCCTGGAGCAGCATTTGGGGCAGCAGCAGGAGGGGGAAGGCAAGAAAATCACTCTCCAAAGGTGGAAATCTTTCCACCCATGGAACTGTTGTACAGGATCCAAGCCAACCTCTATGGGAAGGTTAGTAAAACAATACCTGTTTGATTGTAATGCATCCAGTTCAGCATGATCTCAGGAGCTCTGTACCACCTGGTTGCTACATACCCCGTCATCTCATCATCTGTATGTCGAGCCAACCCAAAATCCAGAATCTGTACAACAACATAGACAACCACTCTATTGTACAATTGAAAAAGACTGGGCTTCTCATTTGAGCAATTACAACTGGGAAGCTCTATAACCAAATGTAAGGAAAAACTGCAGGAACAGTTCAAGAAACAGATATGATAAAACCAAGGCTTGCCAACCTGTAGATGCCAAGCCCTTGTGTGCCCAACTTCAGCTAATAGCAGTACCATTGCAGTCCCAAAACGCCAAAAGTATAAAATTATAACTTTAAATATCTGGAAGCATATCAAGACCTACATATTCAGAAAATTATGGACACAAGCCATCAAACTTGCATAAGTTCTTTGATTTTCTTAGTAAACTATTTAGGTTTGGGCCTACACGAAGAAGAACAATCACTAGGTTATCCACAAGCCACAACTATGCACACTAATCTGTAACTACCTTTAGTTCACAGTCCTCGTTCACAGCTAGGTTACTAGGTTTTAAATCCTAAAAAAGAACAAGAAAAAAAATAGTATTATAAACACTAATATTCCTTATCTATTTTGAAATTTACTGTTAGTACTAACATGTATTCCTTGTATTTTAAAACCATTTCATCACAAATCCACAACAAATAAAACATCAGCTATGTTATGAAGCCACGTGTTAAAAAAGGAAGAATCTAAAAATGTGTACAGCCACCACTGTGACAAAGTGAACTAAAAACAATAAAGAGACTCAGCTACCTTTCCTGTACCTTTAACCCAAACATCTACTACAATAAATACCTCAGCTACTTTCAGGTCAATTATGCATCTGTTTTGCTCTCTTCTGATAACTTTAACATGCACTGAAATTGGTTTCGTGTCAAAGAGAATACTTACTCTGTGTATAATGTCAGCTGAATGGATATACTGCAAGATAAAAGATATTTTGAAAATTAGTTAGAGAGCACCATCTTTTATCACTTAATTATGACGGGGCCAGACCCAAAGTACTGTTAGCTGGACTACACTAGTGGAATAAAACCTGCCCTTCCCAACAAAATGCTGCTCCTGAGAGAGAGGACCATCTTGAACACTGTGGACAGGGGCAAAGTAGGGTCTGCAATGGGAAGTGGAAATTGTGCACCTTATGCCCATGGAAAATGACCATTTGAGCCACCCTAAAACCATTTTTGCCTGTTAAAATAATCTAAAATTCAATTTTAATGTTGCTTTGAAGTACAGTTAAAACAACAACAACAGCCAACGTAACTAGAAGTTCTGAGACATCTGAGACATTTCAGATTTTTTAAAGAAACAGATTTCTAGGAGTACACAGAATGTACACCAATGAACATTTTTCAGGATGAACACTGTATATGGTAGATTTTGCCTTAAATGCCATCTTGTGATGAGAGAGCCTGTCTTTCAGATCACCATGTGCCTGGCTGATGCAGATTTTAGTTAGGTAGACAGAAATATAGCGAGACTTTTTGATCAAACACTTAAAAGGACCAAACTGGAAGGAATGAAAATATTGAAATCATGCCTCTTCATTTTCACATGAACTTCATTGTTTATGTCTTTCTAGTTAGAAAGTAGCAACTTTATGTTGGCTGGGGTGACTTTCCAGTAGCTATGAGGATGGATTGTTTATAAACACACAGTTTACCAAAGTAACCAACAGGATAAAAAAAAACAGTTTGCCAATTTTATTCAAAAATGTTGTGTAAGGTTAAATATTTCAGTATTACTTCTAGACTTCTTTCTGCAGAAGAAAAGGATTATCACATCAAAAGTGGAAAGAATGGCCCTGATCTGGATAGCCCAGGCAAGCCCGATCTCATCAGATCTCGGAAGCTGAGCAGGGTTGACTCTGGCAAGAACCTGGATGGGAGGCCTCCTTGGAACACCAGCAGTCGGGAGGCGGGGGCAGGCTTTACTCAGCCACCTCTCTGAATATCCTCCAGGCCCCCAAGTAGGGGTCAGTCACCAAAGGTGACTGTTAGTCTTCCAGGTGCGCTCTCTCTCTCTCTCTCTCTCTCTCTCTCTCTCACACATACACACACACACACACACACACACACACAAAAGCTGAAAGAACGAACACAAGCCATTCAAGTTGAAAGAATGAACGTAAGCCATTCAAGCCATTCCTGAAGGCTCGTCTGAGTGTCCCAGCCCCTCCCCTCTTAGGCAATGAGCTGATTTATGCTCACCTGCAAAGACTGATGGATCCAATTGGTTTCCAGAATGCTCTGTGGGATCCGATGCCACCTAGCGACTCATCAGATGTGCTGGCAGAGGACTGGCATAGTTGTCTCTCTGAAGCCATTGACGAAATCGCTCCCCAACACCCTCTTCACCCCTGTTCCAAATTAGCTCCTTGGTATACCATGGAGCAATGGCAGATGAAACGGAAGCTGACAGCTAGACCAAATGAGGCAGAGGACTCGTGACGAGGGTAATTTAGGGTAATCAGGACATTAACCTCCCTCTCTGAGGGATCTTGAAAATTCAGCAATTAGCTGTGAGGCTTTTGCAAGCTATTTTATGGATAAAGTCTTGTTGCTCCTCCAGGACCCGCCTGCCAATATTGATACAGTATGTGAACTGGAGGTCCCTTGGCCATCTTCAGGACAAGTAATGGACTAGCTGACTCTCCCAGGATGAGGCTGACAGGATCCTTGATGCTGTGAAGCCCACCACTTGCCTCCTGTCTGTCATGGCTAGTGAAAGCCAATGGGTGATGAAATATAGGTCCCCCAGACCAGTGGACATTATGAACTTGTCCCTGAGCTCAGGGACTTTCCTGGGGACTTTAAAGGAAGCAGTGGTGAGGCTGCTCTTAAAGAAAACATCCTTGGAGCCGACTGATCCAGCCAACTACTGCCCAGTTTCAAATCTCTAATTCCTGGATAAGGTAATTGAGAGAGTGGCAGCTGAGCAGCTCCAGGCTTTCCTGGACCCATTCCAGTCTGGCTCTGAGTCACCCTCACGGATGATCTCCACTGACACCTGAATCAAGGCAGGTCAGTGCTGCTGTTATCACTTGATTTGACAGCAGCATTTGACACAGTCGATTACGATCTGATGAATCACAGCCTTGCTGATGTGGGGATACACGGGACAGCCTTGGAGTGGTTTGTCTCATTTCTCCACAGTCAGGGACAGAAGGTGGCACTTGGGGAGAGAGTTTCACCGCAATACTGTCTGGTATGTGGTGTCCCTCAAGGGGCAATCCTCTCCCTAATGTTATTCAACATCTACATGCACCTCCTCACCCAGTTGGTCTGTAGTTTCGGGCTGGGTTGCCATCAGTATGCTGATGACACCCAGCTATATCTGCTGATGGCTGGCCAGCTGAATGCTGCTTCAGATATTTTGGCCAAGGAAGTTGTGGTTGGCTGGTTGAAGCACAGCCAGCTGAAAATAAATCCATCAAAGATGGAGGTCCTGTATCTGAGTTGGGGGGATGTTGGGTTATGGATCCAACTCCCAACTCTTGATAATGTGCTATTGACTCCGACGCCAACAGTGAAGAGTTTGGGTGTGATTCCGGCCCCCTCCCTCTCAATGGAGGACCAGATCACAAATGTTACTAGACTTGCTTTTTCCATCTACATCACATCAAGCAACTGGTCACCTTCCTCTCTCTCCCTGACTTAGCCACAGTGATCCACGCAATGGTCACCTCTAGGCTAGACTACTGTAATTCGCTCTATGCAGGGCTACCCTTGAAGCTGATCCAGAAACTTCAACTGGTCCGGAATGCAGTGGTGCATATTCTCATGGCAACACCTTCAAGAGCACACATTCAACCAGTGCTCCACCAGCTGCATTGGCTCCCGGTGGAATACTGGATCAAGTTCAACGTGCTAGTTTTGACCTTTAAAGCTGTACATGGTCTGGGACTGACATATCTTTGGGACTGTCTCTCCTGGTATGTCCCCCCAAAGAGTATTATGCTCAATGGATCAAAAGCTGCTGGAGATCCCCAGCCCCCCAAAAATCCACTTAGCCTCAACCAGAGCCAGCATTCACAGCTCTGGCACCAGCCTGGTGAGATCCAGACCCTGTGGGACCTAATGCAGTTCCGCAGGGTGTGTAAAACACAGCTGTTCTGCCAGGCCTATGGTTGAGGCAGTGGAAAATTCCATCAATATTGGCCTCCCTGTGCTCTGTGCATATGTCCACCAGCTATACTATCACATCCATGGACACACATGATGCATAATCTCCATTGCGATGTATTGCTTGCCATCTGACTGTTCAGTTTGGATTGTGTTATTACTTGGGGTTTTACTGTTTAAAGATTAATTTATATTTATTGTTTTAATGTTGTTCCACTACTGATGTTACCCACTCTGAGCTCTGCTATGCAGGGAAGGGTGGGCTACAAAATGAATGAATAATAAAGTTATCCTCTCTGAAAGAAAAGGGGCCGTGGTATTTTCTATTACAATTCCTATTTTGTCATGTAGCAAGAACTACAATATTAAAGGGAATTATGTACGTACCTTCAAACCACGAAGAATTTGATAGATAAGAAACTGTACATGATCATCTGTGAGCTTCTGACATTTCACAATATTGTTCAGATCTGCTCCCATAAGATGGGTTACAAGGTACCTAGAAAACAAAAGTTAAGAAAAGTGAAATAATATCCCCCATCTTTGCCACCTGCTCTGAAACCTTTCAGGAGATCGGCTGGGCTACAAATGTGACAAATAAAAGTGAAAGCAAACCAAGGTACTTGGAAAAAGAACCAGGCTAAATCACTACGGTACACTGTCAGCAACTAACATACAGTACACAATATTTAGGAAAAACATGGTCATCCAAAGAGATGAGTCTGTGAAATAATAAAAAATGGTCTTCCGTCTATTTAAATGCATTACGAAGAATATAAATGGTTCAGAGGTTTATGACAGACTTGTGTTCCCAGTGCAACACAACCTGCACTCATTGCATAAAACGATCTACAATTTTGTAGTTCTGTATTCTGAAATTGTACAGTTATCATGTCTACAACCCTGCACATTTCTACTTAGGATTCACTCTACTTTTAAATAAATCCAGGTTAACAAATATACGCTGAACATTCTAGTGTAATTTAACTAAGAAAGCGACATTATCTCAATAAGATAATACAATTTCCTTTTTTTCTTTCTTTTATGCCCCACCTTCCTCTGCAATGAGAACCCAAAGTGGCTTTCATTGTACTCTTTCCCTCCACTTTATTCTCACAACAACCCTGTGAGGTAGCTTAGGCTGAGTGAGTGACTAGTCCAAGGTCACCCAGCAAGCTTCCATGGCAGAGTGGGGATTTGAACCTGGATCTCCCAGATCCTAATCTGATACTCTAACCACTGCACCACACTGGCTCTGACTTATCCAGCGGATTTGGGTTAAGTGACAACAATTATATACAGGAAGATTGGTGGGTAACAGACAGTTCCTAAGCAAAAACAGGAAACAGATAATGAAAGAAAGTCAATCCTTTGGCTGTTTCATATAGGTGCCTGGTTTTTAGGCTATATTGGTGGATAGGCAAACATTGCCTTTGCACCCTCCTCCACCATGTGTAGAAACCTGAATGTGAATATCTACGTGACCAGATTCCACTCACACAATACCATCCGTTTTCATGCAAGCCGAATTGCACAAAGAGGGCCTACTTGCATAGGAACTGATGCACACTCCCTATCAACATGACAGAGCCATGTTTGAACCAGCCCTAGGGAAAAGCAGAAATTATTTAAAGTTTATATTCTGATAGGACACCCTTGGATTGTGAGGCTTTAAAAGTTAGTCAGTTTCATTGTATTTGCATTCCCATTCAACAGGACCTCAATCAGTAACGCTCTTCACTGATTCAGTCTTTCCACAGAAGTAGGAAAGTGGAAGAAGGTGTGTACAGGGTGTAAGAAATGTACAGCACCATCAAGTATCTATTAACGAAATACTTCTACACAGTCTTATTAAAACAGGAAACCTGTCTCAACATGTACTTTGAAGCTATTACATACATGCCCAACAGGTTTTAAACACAGCTATTTAGGACAGTTGCCATTTGATAATCCACTAGTCTCATGACATAACCACAAGTATCTGTGAGTCTGCTCTGATACAAGTAATGGATAATGAAACCAGATCTCTATTATTTCAACTGACTGAACAATTCACGTGATGAGCAAGAATATTAACATTATTGGTTTCTTTGTAACATTAGCAGCTGTCTCCAAGAACCTAGCGACTACATGTTCAAACCAAAATCCATCCAACTAAACCACTTTTTCCAGTTGAGATTTCATTAAATCCCCCCTCCGTGACCATTTAAAGGGATCAGTATTTCTCTTATGGTCACTAACCTTGCTTAAAGATTTTTTTTAAAGGAACAATACTCGTCTTCAACTAAAAAAGTTCCTACATCTCCACAAGTCACTCATGGCACCAAAACAGTTACAGAAAATTATTATGACTGAGGATTCTGTGGCAGAGCGGCTGATAGTATTTCAGAGTTAGGGAGTTGCGTCACTGAAAAGAGTTGCATCATATTCAAAGAGTTGCATCAAACAGATTTTTGAAGTGGCTCTGGTTCAGAAACAGAACCACTGTTGTTTCCCAACGTATGTAGGCATAGTAAAGTGATTTTTGCAGTACAATACATTATTTTCTCCCTGTTCTCAGGTTGAGCAAATGTGTGACACAGTCCTACCTTTCTATAACGCCGTAATGAAGACTTGGACAACACAAACACGCACATATATATTACAATAATGTATTTTGTGCAATAAGAGGCAAGGCGTCACTTGTTTGTACTACCATGTCTACAATCAATGGTCAATAGCAACAAAGTCATCTTTAGAGCAAAGTCTTTAGCTCTATCATAATCATATTATAAACTCTATTTATCAACAAGGCTTGAGACTGCAAGAAATGAAATTTGGATTATTTTGGAAAGCAGCCAGACTATTGGTGTTGGAGTTTCTAAGTGTTACTTACACATCATTGAATTCCTCTAATGACTTTGCAGGTGTAAATACATCCAGAAGTCCAATAACCTGTTAAAAAAAAGAACAGTGAGAAAAACCCCACACACATTTTGTTCATTAACCTGCTCTCTCTCAACTCAAGCATGCAAATTTATTTGGTACACAAATTAATTCCCCATGAGCAGGGCTTTGTACTGATCTCCACACACATGAAGATGAATACTTCTTCAAACTCAGCAAATCAGATCTTTTTCAAAGTGGCAGGGGTGAGCTGCAAGGGAGGAAAATCAAAGAGCTTTGTAGCATGTATAGTCTCAACATAAACTTTTTCCTTCTTGGAAATCTCTGTTTAAAGTATAGAGTTATTCTTTATTTCAAATACCAAGTGTAAATCAAGTAACTCAATAATAATACCTTATATAAATATTGGAGTGACATATGTTAAAATTTCTGTCCATCACCAAGTAAACTTAAGCATGCTTAAGCACAGCTGATTTCAACAAAACTTCTGTGAAGTCAGCAGCAACAGCCGAGGCAGGTGTTTCACTGGATATAATCACAGGTGAAATAAAAAGCATACCTTGCTAGCAATAATTGGGAGTCACCAATGGCAGCAGAGAGCAGGTCAACTGGCAACTACATGACTGCACAGTGCTGTCTGGAAGTTGTTAGCCAGTTCAAAATTGCATGCTTGTCAACCCTGTATCTACCGTTGACTTCCAACAGTTATTGGAATGGGTGTGCTTTCCCATTTCCACTAAACTGCTCTGCAGTGAGAACTAGCAATTCATGCCATTGGCTATTCCTGAACAAACCACCTTAAATTTAATTGGTCTTTAAGAACCATTACTCTATAGGGAAAAGGTAAATTAATGTGTGACTGGTAATCTAGTTACTAATTGCTAGGACAGTTTACTAGCTTACATGCAGCACTGTCTCTTTGCTTGGCTTCCCATTGTTACTCTTAGTAACACTACTGGTGTTCATGGATGTCTACCGATCTATAACAAAGTACATTAGTAAACCATTACTGATGTTGTGTTCAAGGGAATACATTGCCTATTACAGTAGCTCAGAATAGGAAGAGACTTCAAATCTGGTTACAGAAATGAAAGATATCATACTCTTCAAGTGACCTTATATATAGAAAACAGCATTTTCTCCAGCAGAAATACAGGACCTTTACTGTACAGAATCACTGTTCGGTATAAACCCAACACACGCACATGCAGCCAAGTTAGTAGGATCAGGGTGAGTGAGTGCATAATGGTGGACTCCAAAAGGTGGACTTCTCATATAACCAGGCACATCAAGAAATACCCTCCCTTCTAACACGCTCACTAAAACACAACGTTTAAGCAACGCTGGGTTGGATACAAAGAACTGCACTCAGAGCTCCACTGATAAATCTGATCCTACTTTCATCTGCAGTTCCCTAGGGCACTGGCAAGCTCCTGAGGGTATGGGGATTATTGGGATCAGTGTGGACTGCAGCTCAAGTAGAAAATCCACAAATCTCCCCATGAGCGAGCAGAAGTGATCAATAACTAAAGTAAACAGCTGTTTACTATTCTCAAACAAAGTTCTGTAGTCAAGAATAGCAGGACAGCTGCATATTTATGTCTGTGACTAAAGTTGAAGCAAATGTAATAGAACCTAGGGCTGCCAAATCCCCCCGGGGGGGCGGATTTCCCCCCGCTTTGGAGGCCCGATTTCCGACGCCGCGGAATCGGGCCCCGGGGGAAACCCCACCGCGGCATGCACGTCACCCGGATGTGACGTGATAACGCTGGGGACACTGGGGGCGGGGCCACATAGAGTTTTCCCCTCAAATGGCTGTGGCCCCGCCCCCAGTGTGCCCGGCGTCATGACGTCACATCCGGGTGACGTGCATGCGGCGGGCGCGCACGACCGGGACCCTGTCCGGGAGCCCCCCGCCGCAGGAATAAACAGGTTTGGCAACCCTAATAGAACCTCATACAACAAATAACAGATTTCTGCGAATTAATCATAAGGTTTCTTTACTGAACCATACACACTAGCTCAAATCTGTTTCAATTATAGTTTGACCCCATCCTTGCAAACAAATACAGAGAACAAGAAGTCACCAGGGGGGTGAGCAATGTGGCTCAAGAAAGGGTAAGCATTCCCTTGCTCTTAGAAATTACTCTTCCATTTTTTTTAAACAGAAATCATCAGGCTACTTTTACATATGTTTACAAGTAAATTCTAGTTTGGTCTGAGCATCAGTGACTATGATGTTTTTTCAGGAGGGTAGCCATGTTGGTCTGAAACAGCAGAACAAATTTTTGAGTCCAGTGGCACCTTTAAGACCAACAACGTTTTATTCAAGATATAAGCTTTCGTGTGCATACATACTTCTTCAGGTATCTATCTAGCATTCCCAGTGGTACATTCTAGTGAATGTTAAGTGGATCACATTAAGAGCATATCTAAAAAACTGAGCACAGTTCCAGCTGTAAGAACTTTCTGACCTCCCCGCTCTCTCTTCCTGCAATCTATCTTATCCCTGAAATACTTGCCCAGAGTTCAAGGAACGCCTCCAGGAACAGTGCTGAGCACGAAGAAGGGCCCTGCAGTGGAAGGAAGAACTGGCAAAACTCCCCCCCTCCACCAGTGGATGTGTTCTTCCACCAGCAGAAAACAAGTGTTGGATACAAACATGTTTATTTTTTTTTTAAACCCATTAAATCCTAGTATTGCTATGGCCAGCCTTTTTTCTTTCTTTTTTTAAACCCTGATAAAATTGCCTTTTCCTTTAAATACAGAAAAATTTCCATGCAGTGTGAAATTGCAGTTCAGAAAAATATGAGAGTTCCCATCCAGGATGAGTGCCCTCACTATTGCAGTAAAGCACACAGGCAAAACCGAAAGGGCTGTATGTGCAGTGGTATAGGCAGGGCTTCTAATATACAGTTCCTTGCCCTTCTCCATGATTCCTAACCTTTTCCCCACCTCTCTTTTTGTCCCCAACCCAAGTTATTCTGAATTTAGGACCTTCCCTGGCTAAAAGTAATGTAATTAAGCAATTCTGTGGCAAAAACACATAAAGACTGCTAAGAAAGTACATCCAGGCCTGCCCATCTATATACTAATAGCCAAGGTGTCCCCTGCGTGCGGATATCTAAATCCGCACATCAGGGGCACCTAGGGGGCAAAGAGATTTTCCTGCACATTTGGGGAAATCCCCAGATGTGCAGAAAAATCTGAAATCTATAAAAAACCATAAGGGGGATACTTAAATCCTCCCAAAAGTAAAAGAGTGTTCCCTGCGCATGCACAGAGAACGCTCTGAGAATTGCCTCTCTGCTGCCGCAGCCACCACGGGG